CTCTAGCCCGCCCGCCCCGTGCATGGCCCAGCTATGGAGGTGGTGGACGAGACGGAGGCTCTGCAGCGCTTCTTTGAAGGTAGGAGCCCGGCCCGGGGCTGCCCCGCCCGCCCGCGGGAAGAGGGCAGCACCTCCTTCCCCGCAGCAGGGGCTGCCCACAGGAGCCGGGTGCCGCGCGTGGGGAGCTGAGCAGCCAGCGGTGGGGGGCTGTCACACCCGGGGCACGGGGCGCCCGCTCCCCCTCACGCGTCTCAGTCTTCACGTCGCAGCCCGGGCACCTCGCTCACCCCCACCCCCGCCAGGTACTAGCCCCCTGAGCCGTGCACCGTGTTGGGCCTCCCGAAGTTAGGGCAGTGGCACCCCCCTAATGGACTTCTTGCAGAGTGCTGTGTGGTGCGAGGAGCGGAGCGCCGTCTCTCATTAATGACAGACACGTGATATTCCTGTGCGACACAGGCCAAGTTGCCCTTTTCCCCAGCTTTGGTAGGCGCCGGTGGTCCCCTCCAGCCTCAGGAGACCGTGGGCCAGGTTCCGTCCGTTCCCACCTCCGCGTGGATAGGGAGTGACGTTGAAGCTGAGGGAGTGGCAGGAATACAGAAGTGGTAGAGAGGAGAATCGGGCCCCCTTTGCTTGGTTCAGGGCGACGCACAACGCAGCTGCGCAGTGATGACTGAGCCGTCGGTGAAGCCAGACCATTACATTTAGGTGTTGCGCAGTAGACTGAAGGCTGCGGAGCAGTGGGGGCCTTGCCGCCATTTCTGCCCTTTGTTTTAATCACTCGATCCTCCCACTGTTCTTCATCCCCTCCCCGTCTTTGTTTGTCTATCTCTTACTTCTCTCCCTCCATGTTTCTTTTTCCTCAGTCCCCTTTCTGTCTTCTCTCCTGGGCGCTGTCTCTCTTCTCCCTGGCATCCCTCTTTCCTGGCTTCCTGCTGGAAGGGCAGCAGCCATGGGAAACAGGTTAACACTTCAGGTGTGCAGAGTCCCTGCACTTGGTGTTGCCCTCTTTACACAAAGAGCCTGGGGCAAATGGAACATTCATTGGGTCTTCCTAGCCTGTTTCTCTCCTCAGCTAGACATGGGCTTTCTGCTGCTGCTGATAGCCCAAGCAGCAGTGTAGTCTCTTCTCTGACTGACATAAAGGCTGGGTTAATCAATTGACCAAGTCCACAGTTTGACACCTTGTGGCATTTTTGTTGAGATACACTCACTCCCTTTGGGCCCAAGGTGTGAGGTGCTTTAGGTGTCTGTAATTCTGAAATGGCTGAGATGATTTTGACCTGGGAAGTAGGGGACATGTGGAAATGCCTCTTGTAGACTAGGGGACAGCCAAACCCTAGGGCCCCTGGGCAAGCACGTAAGATGTCTGCCACCGATTTGGGGAGTATCTGAAGTCCCAGACTGAGTCTGGGAAGGAGGATACTTGCCCAGTGACAGAGCCACATGGACTTGAACGATTGAGTTCAGCTCAACTGAAACTCAGAACTTGACTAGTGGATTTTGCCCAATAGAATTTGGGACTGATTTGGCCCTTTTCCAAAAAGAAATGTGTGTTGTAGAGACAGAAAGGCAACTTCAGTGGAACTTTAGTGATCCTATGGAAGATGAAGTGCATGTTGTTTCTCTGCGCTGCTTTGGGGAAAAGATTTTCTTGTGCTTGCCAGCCCTGATCCTGAGTTTGAGTGGAACAACTTTAACCAGGACAAGAAGCCTAACAATAGGGGCTGTTGCTGTGTGCACCAACACGTTGCCTATGTAGCCGATGTATTTTCAGTAGGGTTCCCCTTGGGTGTAGGTCCTGACCTTCTTCCCTATGGTCTTAGCTTCAGGCATAGCCCCCAACTGCACCTGACCTGATTCCAGTGTCTTGGTTTTCATGCTCATCCCTTGCAGCCTGTGACGCTGAAAGGCATTAATCTTGAGTTGTGCTTCTCTCCTTTCCACTTTGAATTTCACAGAAATACACACCACCTGATGTCATCTGGTTGAACTAAAAACCTCTGGTCCCCAGCTCTCCCTTATCCCTAGCCATGTGGAAATGGAAAGCAAAGAGCACCAGTGCAGAAGGACTGGTTTTAAACTTTGCAAGGTGCTCACTCAGTCATTTGATTTCTTTCTTTGAGCATTTGGAGCTTGCTGCAGCCTCCAGAGGGGCTCTCTACTTTCCATGGGCAGCTAGTTCTGTTTTCATGTTTTAAGTAGTTTATGTTGCAAGGTGCTAGTGTGGTTGGAGGGGGGGGGGCACAGGAGAAATTTTGACTCAAAGGACTACCATGCAGCCTGTGCTAAGAAGTGTTGAGAAGATTATTTTTCTGTCTGCTGCATACCAGCTACCCAGGGTGCTTTGAAGAAGTGAGTAGTCAAACTGATCCTCAGCTGAAAGTCTAAGTTGTATGTTGCTGGTTTTCCATCAAGGATTCTGGTTTGACCTAACATTGCAGTGTCCTGAGGGATTAATGATTTCTGGACAAATAACATACAGACAGATAGCAGACCTGGTAGAACTGTATTCATTTGGAAAGGTAAAATAGATACCCTGAGGCTTCTTTAACGTCAGCATCCTTATTCTTTTCTATGTGGGAGTTGCACATTTGGATCTTTCCTTCTTATAGTGCAGTAATTTTTTCTTCTTCACAGAAGAGCATCCTTTCTGTAAGTGGAGATTTCATGCCCCTGGAAATGGCTTCCTACAGGTTGCATACCCACAGAAGTAAATTGGAGAGTTCACACCACTTAATTTTGAATTGGTTTCACCAGATTTGAGTCTTCTGGAAGCAGATCCTCTGTATTTAAGAATGATCCTGTAGCCCTTTTATTACACACAGTTTCAAGGCACTGTGCAAGGGTAATGCATCCTTTCAGACTTTTGAGAAGCAGGGTCAGTGTCAGAGGTTAAATAACTTGTTCAAAACTTGGGAGTGAGGGAGTGGCAGAGTAAGGATTAGAACTCAAGTGATCCCATTGTGCTAGGTCTGTTAGATGGTGTGGCAGATCCCTTTTCTGGAGAGAAACCTCAAGAAGAAATGGGTAGTCCTCTGTGACTCCACTTTCCCCAAACAGCCGTGTCCGTGGGAGTGAGAGTTTCTAGGATCCCAGAATCCCAGCTTCAGTCCCAGCTGGAGTTGAGGCCTGATGCTGATTCTTTTTGATCTTAGAGCTCTCAGAAGGTGGGACCTTTTCTTCCAAAAGAAGTTTTCTGGTTGGACCTATCTGCCTGCCAGGGTTGGACTTATCCACCTCCCTCATACAGAGTAGTTTGCTGAATTTGCAGGGAGATTAACAAATACGTGAAGGTGAAGGGGCAAAAAAAGGAAGTTGAAATGTTTTGGGCTTTGGGCTGAGATTCAGAGAAGGCCGAGAGAGGTATGGGAGGACTTGGATTTGTATGATAGCTTGACAGCTTCTGTAGGAGGTTTGGGTGAAATTGCACTACTTTGTGATGGAAGAGGTGCCCTTGGTGCCTGTTGGAGTTGGCTGTGTGGGTGCTGAGGATTCTGCAAGCAGACCCACTCCTGGTTCAGAAGATTCTGGCTGCTTGGGTCCAATTTTGCAGTAGCCTGATTCATGTTGTGGTTTCCCACGGCACTTACCCTCATAGTGTCTAACAGAACTGCAGCAGGGGAAAAGGGAAAGCTTTTTAGGTGGAAGGGAAAGGAGTAAAGCTTGGTCTCTCCAGAGTGTTTACCTAGAGCGTTTGTATTTCATATCAAAGGGAAGGTGGAGAGTAGAAAAAGCCTGACCCTTGGCTGGCATCTTGCTCGAAACCCTACCTTCCTCCCTGCTTAACACTCATGTAAGGGAAACAGTTACGCCAGAGCTCAGCTATTCGGGATCCCTCTCTCCCTTGGCTAATTGATGAGATAAGAGGTTGTTAAAGAATGTATATCAGGAAAGATGTGCAGAGCAGCTTTAAAAGGAAGAGTAAGAGGGTGGGGGATGGTTGGGTGGTTTGGCAGCTCTCTGCAACAGAGGGCCAGAAACACCTGAAGAAATGGAGTGGGAAATGTGAAGGGTTTGGACAGATGAAAGCTTCAAATGGAGCTGCCATTGCATTCAGTTGACTCTCCCTGCAAAGGGCCAGGGCCCCAGCACATATAGGTTAGCTAGCTCTCTCGACTGCAATGGAATTAGGCAACTTTACAGTAGCTGAGGATCTGGCCATTTAAATCCTTGTGTAGAGGGTCAGAGGATAAGAAACTCCTGAGTGTGTGTTTGGAGAGTGGCTGTGCTATGCCCGTAAGGGCTGCTGATACTGTGGTAGCTGCCTGAAGGCTTATAGGAGCCTCTGAGCTGTGAGTGTGAATGAGTGAGTGGGTGCTGGTGTTTATCAGCCAAGGAGTGAATATGTTTGTATTAGCGAATGCGTTTGTCTGGAGGAGTGTGTGTGTGTGTGTGTGTGTGTGTGTTTGTTTGTGTGTTCTGAAATAGTGCTCTTTTCTGGTGCCTTCTTTTATGGATCCTGTCTCACTTTCCAGACACAGTTGGTGACTGCGGTCTCACAGCCCTCCCAGGAGGTAAGTCAGAACTGTTGCCCCCATTTTACAGTGGTGCAGAGAAGGGAAGAGATTCACAGAGCAGGAAACTGAACCCTGAGCTCCAGACTCCTGTGCTTGTGCCTTTGTCTAAGTATGGAGTGGTGCTCCCTGTCATGGGCTGGTGGGTATTGGTGAGGTGCTGGGAATATGAATATATTAGTGTAGTGGTTTTCAACCGTTTTTGTACCAGGACCTATTTGTAAACATCAATGGCCATTCCCGACCCAGTGGCCCTTATCCCCAACCCACTGACCCCTGCCTCCAGCCCCACAGTATGTGGAACAGGGTGGGGGGGCCCAAGCAGCCTCTTGCAGGCTGCAACTCTGCCAGCCTGCAAGGGAAAAGCCACAGTTTCCCATTTGTTTCTTCTTTAAAGGAGAATCCATTTTAAAAGTTTGTTGATCCATTTTTTGTTTGTGACCCTTTCACATATTCTTGTGATCCACGGGATGAGAAACACTGTGTTAGTGCATGCATGTGAGAATTTGGCAATGAGTAGGGGATCTGCAGGGGTGGGGTTGGTATTAGCAAGAGTATATCTGTG